AATACCTGCAATAAATAATCATAACTGGGCGAAATATAAATAATATTACACAATATATGATTATATAACATTATGCCATTTGAATTAAATCTCAAACTCTAACTTCTTTGTCTAAAAAAAGGTATCCATAATATCTTCTGAGAATCCATGTAATTATATATAAGAATATAAATGAAAAGTTGTTTGACTGCCTACTTTACTGATACGATATTCTCCCTTTCACCACCTCCCCTGCCCTCCGCCACATTGTTTAACTTGTAAGCCCATTATTTGCACTTTTGAATACCGATCAGAAATTACCCGACAGTATAATTAGTATCGTTTAGATATATTTGCACATGATTTTCCCATAGGATATGCTTTATATTGAAGAGAGGAACATCAACGAAAGAGTAGTTCTGAATATAACTTACATAGGGTTGTGCGAATGTAAAAATTACGAAGGGCAGCAATTAAATTGCAACAATGGAACGTTCAGATGTGGACAATGTATGTGCGATGAAGGATGGTAAGCTAACTCAACATTTTGACACATGCGACTATCCACAGTAAAACGGGTTACCGACTGGCAATTGTTTGCGAATAAAGCCATTTCTAAAAACCGCACCTCAAGACAGAAGTTGCAGTAATGCCATAAATATATGAGTAACACCGCAGCTTCTCTAATGTCATGTCTAGAGATTAAAAAAAAAACGTTTTCAGTCAGCTGACTTGTGATGCGGCTTACAGAAATGGCCAATTGCCAGTCGGTACCTCCTTTTACTATGGAGGGTCACATATACTCGTAATCAATATTGTTGTTACATTAATAATGAACACTTCTTTTGTGTTGTGGTGTTTTTTAGGACTGGGATATTATGCGATGAAAGTTGTGATGAGAACGATAATTTTAATTCCTGTAGATTATACAGCGATGGTATTATTTCCTCAATTTGTCATAGAAAGTTAGTAAGACAGATGTATCTCTAGTAATATCATATGAAGTTTTATTGTTTGTTTACTGGTTAATTTACGAAATCTTCTTACATAACGACATAAAGGTTATCAAATTTGACACGTAATGAAAACTCGACAGCGAGAATGATTGCGCCATACTCAGCTAAGCTAACTAAATTTAACTGACTATGGATAAACTATGGGGAGGGATGGCCTAAATCCTCGCAAAAATCAGTATCCCTGAAATGGAAATTGAACAATATCTACTTGAAGATGGAGTCTGATTTTTCCAAATGACGTTTTTGATTTGTACCACAATAATTTTTAAAGATAAAATTTGTTTATATTGCGATTGATCATCACATTCCCTTTTTACGTATAAGACTATTTTGTGTGCATCTGATACATTCACAGAATCAATATTAGAAATTCTTTAAACAGTATGATTGAGAATTGCAGTGTTAGTCACAGTTATCCGTTAGAGAGTTTCTGTATATCATAGTTACACAATATAAGTAAATTAAACATTAAAAACTCATAAGGTATACGATCAAATTATTTTATACATACAAGATAAAACAAATGTATTTAAGTAGTAAAGCAATACTGATTCTGGCGCACTGACTACCAGCATCTCATCTCCATTATCATCATTGGCCCTGGGGTGTGTACATGGGAGATCCTGGAATCTAGAATCTAAAGGTCCTAGATTCTAGGAGAGGGAGGAGCTAAGAGAGTTCGGCCTATCTCATAGGCGTAGATCTAATAGCTAAGGGGGAGTAGTTAAGATGCTTTGACCTATATCATAGATGTAGATCTAGAATAACATCTAAAGGGATGGAGCTAAGAGTGTGTATTTGACCTATTCAATATGTTGAAGCTGTTCGAGCTGTTGCGCAGATAAAAACAGGCTTTTTTAGCTTTAGTTGGTTTTTTAAGCATTTTGAACTATTTATTTACGTAATCTGTTTCAATTGATCGAACAGGTCGAATAGGTCAGATACACGCTGTTAGTTCCACCCCCTTAGCTATTGTTTTAGTTCTACATCTATGGTATAGGTCAAATCATCTTATCTCCTCTTCTTTAGCTATTATCTTAGATCTACGCCTATGGTATAGGTCAAAGCATCTTAGCTGCCCCTCTCTCTCTCCCAATACTGACTTTTAGTTTTAAATTTTGGGACCGCCTACGTACACACCCCCAGGGCCAATGATGATAATGGAGACGGGATTTGGTGCGCCAGAATCGGTATTGCTATTCTGCTTATTAGTTGCGATTTTATTTAGTTTACTTTGCCTAACCATAAGCCGATGCTAGCAAAATCTACTGGAAGTTTTATCACGTTTTATTGCTGTAAAACTTGTAGGTTCTGGCATGCATTCTGATTGTATGTAAGTATAAAATAGTAATAATTCATATTTTTCTCTGTTATTAAATAATTAAAAGACGTATTGATTAATTTCAGCGGAGACTGTAAATGTGGAAGATGTCGTTGCGATTTTCCATACACTGGAAAATATTGTGAATACGCTTGTCCAGTGAACAACGGCAGCATATGCAGCGGCTTGTCTCAAGGAAAATGCGTTGAAGGAATATGTGAATGCAAAAGTGAATTCAGCGGCGAGGATTGTTCTTGTTCGAAATTCACAGGCCATTGCAAAATGTTTGAGGGTATGAGTATATGTAGTGGAAAAGGAGATTGTGTGTGCAACAAATGTGTATGCAGCAGTGGATATTCTGGCCAGTATTGTGAACTGAACAAAAATAATAATACGTTATGCGAGGATTATAGGAGCTTCGTCGAGGATGCAACCTCAAATGGCACTTACAGTGGAACCAAAGATAATAGTAAAGTTTTAGTTGAAGCAGTGAGCGATGATAAGAGAAATAACATTTGTAGTATGTATAATTTCTATAATATATTAAATTGTAAGATTATATTTTGTATGCGTATACGCAGTAACCTTAGTTTGTTTCTAGTTTTTTACTTTTAGCCTAATCTGAGGATTTTTGTTTAGTCATTTTAAACGCTCATATATTCTGCACTGACGAAAGCAAGCAATTCAAAACTACAGTCTACAAATAAATTAATTTAACTTTAATCTTTTAAGTAGAAGAATGTTGAGAAAGTGTAGTTTACCATCTCCGATCATGCCCATTAACACCGGCGGACTCAGATTGAAAACAAGGCACATGCACCTTTGTCTTTGTGTGTATTAAATCAATAGAAAGGAATAATGAGATGAATGGTTTTTGTGTCCAGTATAGAAAAATAAGACTCTTAGTACCAATGGATATACAGCTTATTCAAATATTCGGTAATTATTTAGTATACGATAAGATGCTTAAATTTTCCTGAAAATTTTTCTACCCCCCATGAAGTTTTTTTCGCAGGAGAGAAGCCGTTATGGAGAAATAAAATAAAAAAATTTTGCACTTTCACAAACATCTGTCACTTTTTACACTGGATATATCTAACGATTTGCATTATTTCCCTCACCCCAATAACGCTCTGAATGATTTGGAGTATAGTATACGTCATTTTTTATAATAAGAGCAATTTTTTTCCTTAGAAAAACAGCTTTGTATTTGGGATAACGCCATTACATGATAAAAATGCAACTAAAATGTATGTGAAATTAGCGTTGCGTTTCAGATAGTGTTTAAAGTGCCTCGCAAACAATTTCCCACTATATTTAACAGTTTCGTAATGGCAGGCGATTGGGTGACAAGGTAAAATTTGTTTCATTAGCTTTTATTTTATTATTTATTGCAATTTTTATTTATTTCCTGAATTCTTATTTTCGGTGAATTTCATAACACGCCCCTGTGAGATACCACAAAACCAATTATACCTCTACATATCATCAAATGTTCATTGCACATTGTCATATCCTGTGCAAACATCCCTAACAACCCTTAAATAAGTTAATAAGATTGCATTCTTCAATAACATTAAGAATTATTCCTTACCCTATAAATTTTGGGTGGAAAAGGGTAAGTTTTAAATAGGGTGCTTTTTACATAGGATTATAAATAAAAGGGGTTGGTTTAGCGAATAATTTTAATATGACGAAAGAGTGGTTTTATTAAAAGGGGTTATTGTGACCATAATCCAATGTAAAAGGCACCCTATTTAAAACTTACCCTTTTTCACCCAAAATTTAAAGGTCAAAGAATAATTCTTAATGTTATTGAAGAATGCAATCTTATTAATTTATTTAAGGGTAGTTACGGATGTTTGTACAAGATATGATAATGTGTAATGAGCATGATATATAGATTTGTGCAATAATACAACCTAACCTAACCTAATACATGTTCCTCTCCTTTCCTGGCAAAGATAATTGCTCATACCTTCACGTTGGTCCTTGCTGAACAATAACATATTTAAAGATATAATCCATTTCTTTAATTACGTTATCGACTAAATGAGCAACTTACCCTAAAAAGATCCGATCTGGTTTTAAACTGAACGCTAGTTATGCAATGTCGTATCTTTAGACACAACAGAATAGAATCGCACCTAACTTCTCCGTGACTATGAATGATTTGTCACGGTACAGCATTTTCCATGCATTTTCGTATTTAAAAAATGGTTTTTAATGTGTAAAACATTATATTTCTGTGCAAGATAAAAGTAACATCGTCTTCTAAGCATTAAAATAGTAAAATTAGTAACAGGAAGTGTTAAATATATCACAATAAAAAGTGACAGATGTGAGTGAAAACGCAATTTTTTTATATATTTTTTTCTCATGAACGGCTTGTCTCCGGCGAAAAAAAACTTCATATTCGTGTTCAGCGTACCTTATTTTGGGGGGTAGAAAAATTTTCAGGAAAATTTAAGCATCTTATCGTATATTAAATAATTACCGCCGAGGTTGCTTTAGACACAAGTGGTCCAAAAGTTAATTAATTAAACGCCACAAGTAATACAACCCCCTGTGTCCATTAAGTAGGCCAAGGTACCTTGTGCGGATAGGGCCACACATTTAGAGACAATGTACACACACTCAATATTCGAGTATGCTTGGATTAATTTCTGGTTTAGAAAAAATCCTAGCCCCTCGACCGGGGATCGAACCCGGGACTTCAGAGTGAGAAGCCAGTGTCCTTATCACTCGACCAAGAAGACATTCAAGTCTAACAGTAATGATTTTAGTTTATACTTTAAAACTTTGGTGTAAAACTTTGTTTTCCGCGCAACATCAAACGATGTTGTTGGTCATCACTATCAGTCGTATACCGACATTATAACAACCCTGATTCTGTCTACCGAACTGGTCTAAAGCGAGTCCGATAATCATTGTTACGATGATGTCCAGCAACGTCAGAACGGGATGCGTCGGGTAACGTTGGTACAACGTTAAAATGCTCCTTGGGTATAGTTTATTATTGCGAACAAATCAATTGCTCAACTACAACTCGCTTTATTTAAAACTAGTCAGTGGTCCACATGATTATTGATTATAAAGATATAAGAATAATTTTAAAATGTACCCCTGTAATTTTTTCTGGATCTCTAGTTTAAACATCATATCTAATTTAATTTTCATTCTGTGTTTTCAGGAACTACATGCAAAACAGTTACATACGTAGGTAACAGCCTCTGTACAATCGACTTCTGCTACATCTCTGGCCAAGATGGAACCATACATTTACTTTCAACGCCTATTTGTTATATGACAGCAGGGTTCAGAGCACTAACGACCGGTTTGATAGTTTTCGGTGCTATATTACTGGCAGGACTTTTATTGATACTTGGCACCAAATACAGGATATATAGGCTTGAACAGGCCGAATACAGACAATTTGAAAATGAAAGAAAGAACCTCAACGAACTGAATCCTATATACAAGGATCCCGTTACCACGTATAGAAATCCAATGAGAAGGAAGAATGATTAGATAAACGTTTCTTGTTTACTTTGTACAGACTTAAGTGAGATGAACTTTTAGTCGTCTTTAACTCAGTTGCACTGGTTGTATTTTGTAAAAAATGTTGTAAAAACGTTTGTATGTAAGTATACGGTACCAAGACCAGTTGCAAATTCCGCAATAAATGTTAGGGACTGTGGGAAGTATATTTAAAAGCTTTTTAACACACTTTTATTAGCTTCACTTGTATGTTTGTTTGTTTGTAACCGACTCTTTGGACTCGATTTTGACCCACTTTAAACGGACAGATTTAATTGAAACTTTGAACACTTACGAAGAACCGATAACAATACAATAATTTGATAAGTTTATATCATTATCCTGATCAGGATCGCCAGTCCTTTCCTCACGTATCCTCTGCGTGAGAGCAAGAGGCTTAATATTGTAAGTATATTCCGTGATTCTCAGTTCGGTCGTTGGCCGAGCGGGCAAGTCTTAGTCGACGCGAAACGACGGACTCCTTGGGCGTGAGTTCAAATCCCATGGCTGAAATAAAAAAATATTTTTTTTTTTCAGAAATATCTGTTGGATCGTAATATGTTATAATATCAGCATCAATAAGCAATATAAATATAGTTTAAAAAAACTACAAAACACGCTTTCATAGCACATCAAACTAAAAAAGTGAAAAATAAATATAGTTTAAAAAAACTAAAAAACACTCTTTTAAAGCACATCAAACTAAAAAGTGAGAAATAATTATTAATATAAACTGAAAACAATAATGAACGAAAAATACTAGTATTATTGTGAAAAAAGCGTGGGTTGCTCGATATACGAAAAATATGGCACAAAGCGGCCCACGCTTTTTTCACAATAATACTAGTATTTTTCGTTCATTATTGTTTTCAATTTATATTAATAATTATTTTTTACTTTTTTAGTTTGATGTGCTGTAAAAGCGTGTTTTTTAGTTTTTTTTAAACTATATTTATTTAGTTTATGTTGGAACCGTCACCATTTGTCAATTATTCGTTCATTGTCTTCTTTACTTTATGCCTCTGTCTTCTATATTTTTACTGGCTCCTTTTCGTCGTTTATCTGTTTTGATGATAATTATTTGAATTGTCTCCACTGTACAGGTTATCCCCGAAAGATCTAGACAAAATTTACCGGATAATCTACGGACCAAAATAAGTTGACCTCAAAAAACTTTGGGAGGTGATTATACAAGTTAAAGTAATGCTAGTAGTTTCTTATGGAAAGAATGAAACACAACTGTAACGGAGTTACAGACACTCAAAGTTCAATTTTTTCTTCCTTCTTTTTGGCATAAATCATTAATTCTAGACCAATCAAGTTGATATTTGGCACACACATTAAGAGCAACGAACTCTCTAGTTAGTTCATTATCATACCGCCAGGGGCACTTTACTTGCAACTATGATTATTATTTATCCCATAACTTTTTTTTCTTAGTAGGTATCACAAAATTGAAAAAGCACTATTTTAAAGGGAATTAAAATCATAAAACTTTATGTACTCTTCATTTAAGTCGATAAATGTAACTGTTTAGCTGAAAATCGGCCTTAAAGTTTAATTAAATGTATTAAATTTTTCGATAATGAAACGGTTATAATAAAATGGGATATTAAACGAGTAATTAACAAATAAAAAACAATAAAGTTTGAAATTATTGTATTCTATGTATTATAATAAATGTTCAAAATGACCTCCATTTTTTCAATACACTTTCTAACGCGTTTTAAAAATGACCTTCGGATAGGAAAAACCATTGATTTTGTGGCGAACAATTATTTCACATCCATTTATTATTAAGTCGTAGATCATTGACATCTTTTTACAGCCGTTTCATAAACTAGTAAATTTAATTGTCCCCAAAAAAAAAAAAGAAATCCATTAAATTAAGATCTGGTGATTGTGGTGCCCAATCCACTGGTTCAGCTCATCTTATCCAGCGGTTTTGAAAGGCCTTGTTTAAATATACACGCACAGCCAAACTAAAATGTGATGGAGTGCCATCTTGACATTTTTTTTATCTTGTTCTTGTAGAAACATCTGCCAGCAACACTGGAAGGTCATTTTGAAGAAATGATAAATAAACTTCTCCATGTATTGTTCCATTAAAGAAGTGAGGTCCTATTAATTCTTCTAAATCTTCCATGATTCCGGCCCACACATTTAAATAAAATCTACTTTGATGTTTTGTTTCCACGTATGCATGTGGATTTTCATCAGACAATCGATGTGTATATGGATATTTGTAATATCATCTCATGTAAAACCCGCTTCGTCGGTAAATAACGTAACAGTAATAAATTCACTAGCTTCGTATTTTTCAATAATATTACTGCACATATGCAAACGACCCGGTCGATCTTCATGATAAGGCGTTTGCACTTTTTGAACATGAAATGGGTGAAGAAATTGCTCATGGAGATCTTCCCTAACTGTTGAATAATTACTAATACCATCCTGAACAGCAATTATTCTTGTACTAGTAGCTGGATTTACGTCTACAGTGTTCAGAATTCTTTCTTCTACTTATGCAGTTCTTATGGTTCTCGGCCTCCTTTATCCACATTATGATTTTAAAAAAGAGCCTTACTCCACAGTCCTTCTGTTAACTTTAATGAGTGTTAGGGCATGCGGTACTCTTCTGTCAGGATATATGTAGAGGCGGATTAAGTCAATTGGAGGCCCCTTAGACCCAAGCTCCAAAAGAAAAAAATAGTGTAAGCAGGGTTGCGATGATTTAAATCAATTTGATTTAAATCGTGATTTAAATCATGATTTAAATCAACTGATTTTTTAAATTTAAATCATGATTTAAATCAAGTTGTGTAAAGCCAATAAATCAAACTTCAGATTATACAAATAAAAAGCATAGTTTATTTAAAAGCTAGATACAAATTAAACTGAAAAAAAAATCAAATAAAAAGAAGAAAAGAACAGTTAGGTTACACATATAAAACAAAAGTCACCTTCTTAAATGTACATTATAAATTAGGTGCCTACTTAAAAGCAGAAACATAAAGTAAACAAATTAAACAGAACCAACTCTAAAAGAAAATAAAACATAATTTACTCCAAAACAAAAATTTTAAATAGGTTAATTATTGTAAAGTTTGTACAAAAAACTAATTTCGCTGCTTTTTCGGTCCCTAAACGTCCAAGATCCCCTTAAATAAAATAAACATTTATTTAGATTTAGAATACCCGCAGTTAAATCAACTTCTTGCACTTTTCCTGATGGCCTTTTAATCTTTGAACAAGTCCTTGCATTTCTTTTTTACAATTTTTTACACACCGCTCTGTTACTGGTTTTTCCTTTCTCTGTTTTTTTTTTCATAAAATAATCCCAAATTTCGTCTTGCTTCCTTCCGCTCATTTTTATTTTACACTTCAGTCGTGCGTCGCCTCGGCATCTATGAAATTCATGAAACCGACCAGCAAGCTTGTCAGAACAGGAAAATGCTGATTTTTTATTATTTGTATGAAAATATAGACCATATAGAGAATTTTTCCAGTGACGTGAATAATTTATATGTGCAAATTGGTAGTTAGAGAATACAAAAAAAATGGTGTATGGAAAAATCGTATTTGTTTTAAAAAAATTAGAGTAGAACTGAAAAAAAATCAAAAAAACCTGATTTTTTTGATTTTTTTAAATAAAAATCATTGATTTTTGATTTTTTTTTTTAAATCATGATTTTTTCCAAACCTGAGTGTAAGGGAGTGATAACTTTTTCTGAAAAATTTAGGTATTAGCTTTTTAATGACAACAATAAATCGCTAATAATAAAACGTTTCACGAAAAACCAAAAATTTATCCAAAAAATTTTACTAAAATAAATTATCTGAGTGCTTACAAAAGATTTTCTATATGAATTTACCTAGAACTACTTTTTCTGCATTTTCGAGATACAGGGCGTTGAAATAGGAAAGTTTTTTTCTCCAAACTATGTGAAATATTTATTTCATATCTGGTACGGGGTATTAGTATATGGTTCAACCAGAGGCGTCCGAGAGGAGGAATTATGGCTCCTTTTCAAGTCAAAATTTCTGGGAAATTTAAAAAATTATCTCCGAACTGCTTGATGCATTCTAAAGAAAAAGATTTGCTTGTTAAATTTTTCTAGGAGGAAAACCAGGTTTCAAAAAAATCGTTATTTTAATTTCAGTACAAGAATATTGGTGGCAGGACATATTAACATAGTAGTAGTTTACTGTTTAT